TATATATAAACATTAAAAAATATTGTATTAGTGAGTTCAACTGTTATTCCTGTATGGATTAAAGCGATGTTCCTAATGTATGGCATGCAATGAATGTACTGTACTGTAGTAAATTGTATGAAAGTCGTGTTTATGCAATATCATAAACTTAGTTTTACTGTATATCAAAAACATTAACAAATATTTTATTTGTTCAACTTTTTTTTTCATAAGGTATGGATCAAAGCAATGTACAGTAGTTGACTGTGAAAAAACTGCTTTTATGCAGTAATATTTTTCATAAAAACCTCAGTGCTAATGTATATCCAAAGACATAACAAATATTTTATTAGTTCAACCTTGTATTTATAAAGAATGGTAATTAATGCACTGAGTAGTAGATTGCGTGAAAGTTGTTTTAATGCAGTATCATATCTTGGTGCTACTGTATATCAAAAAACATCAACATATATTTTATTATTTCAACCTATTATTTTGGGCAAGCAATGTTTCTATGCAATAAATATATTATTAGTGAGTTCAACCTTTAATGCATAATCTATGGCATATGCAATGTTCAGTAGTAGATTTTGTGATTTCAAAAAAAAAAAAATTAATGAATAATATAACTATGAAAGCTGTTGTTTTACTGTATATCAAGACCCTTAACAAACACATCATTACTCATTGCATATTGTAGATTATTATATGTGAAAATTTATTTTATGCAACATAATAACTTGGTGTTACTGTATATCAAAAACATAAACAAAAGTACTTCATTAATACACCTGTTTTAGATTGTGTGAAAATTGTTGTTTTCTAGTAAAAATATCAGAATTTTGTGACAACCTTTGTCCTACAATATACTAAGATACCATAACAAATATTTTTTCACAGAGTTTTAAAATTATATTCATAAATCATAATATAGAGATGCAATGTACAGTATTGTATTATGCATGAAAATTATTCTCTTGCAATGATACCATACCCGGTTCATGAAAACATTTGTGTTATATGAGATACCATAACAAATCAATCAGTTTAAAAACTTTGTTTAGTAATATAAGACTTGTGTTTTTATGAAATGAAAATCATTCTCGTCGTTTTAGTTATTTTTTATGTTCTGTGTTACCTACTTCAGTTGTAATAATTTAAGCATGTCATTTTGTTGGATAGACCAGTGTCCACCTTCCAAATAAGAATCCCTACTTCCACAGTCCCCAGATGTTGCCAGTTTAAGATTTGTAAAGGAACTTAAAACATAAACGTAACTACAGTCTTTTACTTTCTCATAATATATGCAATATGAACATTACTGTAGATTATATTAAGCATAAAAAATTGAGGAACAATTAAAAAATATTCAAAAGCACACAAACTGAACATACTAGAGACCAGCAAGTTTAGTATATTTAGAATTTGAATTTTAAGGTGATTAAACATGGTTTTAGTTACATAAGGAAGAAATACATTTAGTATATTAATTCAAGTCCCATACTATTGAATATTATTTATATGCTTGTGTCATTGTTTGCTGTGTTATTAGGTGATTATTATTATCTTAGCTTAATTATGAGATAATAAAAAACACTCTTTTCTCAGAAACTTTACAATCGTAACCCAGGTTGATGATCATAAATTAATCTTTAATTACAAACTGAAATTATTATAATGATAGCAAAAACCACCATGAAACGGATTATATTGTTTCCCCTCCCCCAACATTCAGATGGTAATACATTTCTAACGTCGTCTTTATTTTTAAAGATTTTATACTTGTCAATATTAGGAATAACAAATCACTATGCATTTTCCCATATATTTAATTGCGAATCCCTTTTAACAATACAATCATATGCAAGTAATGCCCTCTATTATAGACCAAGTTCGTTATGATGGATAAGAGTGGAGTTTATATTTTATAGCTTGAGAGCAAATCCATGTGTGAACAAGATTCAAAGTGTTAATAAAATAATTGTAGGCTAGCCGGCTAGACACTATTCTTTTGTTAATTGTTTGTATTTTTTAAATAATAATAATCGTATTGTTTATTCTAATATATTTTTTAAGGAATTTATACGGTAACAAATTAAGTGATCTGAATGAAGATGCCTTCAATGGTTTGAAAAGTCTTGAAGAGTTGTAAGTGGCAATTCTCTAATAATCTTTAATAATCTGTTCTCAATAAATAACACATAAAACCAATAATTGAATATATATATTGTTATTGATCACATGACAAGTTTAATCTACAGATTATGAAAATCATACCGATAATAAATGTCATGACAATCGATTTTATACCAAGAATGCATTACTTTACAAATAATTAATTTAACACCATTTATTATTTTCACACATTACTTATTTTATATAAAATATTGATCGAAATTAATTTATATACATCGGTAAATACATGTATGTATTACATAACATATGTAAAGAATATCATTTTATGTCGGATTATGCATGTTTTATGGATCAGAAAATCAGTAATTCACGGTGTATTGAAACTCACACTCAATACGTAATTATTCGTAAACGTTGTTTAACTATAGTCAAAATATGACGTCCTGGGACGTTTTCTTGTCAAAAACAACCAACTTTTCTAATGCAACAGCGATCGAAAAGCAGTTCCGTAATTGCGATTAGGTGATTCTTAAGGAACTCGACTAGGATTTTGCGAACCATTTGCTAAGTTTTCAGCACACAGTAAACGTAATTACATTTATAAATCTTAATAAAATATATAAAAATCAATTATGTTAGTAAATTACGATGGTGATCAAGAATGACAATGTTAATGGTACGATAATAGAGAACGATTATGAATGATGATGATGATAAAGTAGACTCGATTATGGTCACACATCACTTACCGTCTTGCTCCATCTTGGCAAATTCCCTCGGAAACGTGCAACCAATTCATTCAGTCGATTATTTGTCTGTCGTCTGTCCGTTCATTCATTTGTAGGTTCGTTTATTCATTGAGTAGTAGTTTGATTTAGTCCCCGGCTACATTGTATGTTTTAGTTGAAACTATATATTTAATTGATAATTAAGACGTGTTTCTGACTAACCAAATGTGAATTTGTTTTTACATAATAATCTTTTACAAACGACGACTTCCCAATTGTTCACGTATTATCGACAATACACCACATGAATTACCGATTACAAACTAATACTGCATATCGATGAAAAAATAGCTATTAATTAAGCTTTATAGTAGATATCGTGATCGGTCACATGAGGAGTATTAATTACAGATTATGGAAATCATACCGATCATACAGATTATCGGTTTCATGACCACCTATCATCTTGTTTTATTCACGGCAAATTCCACTAGGCAACATGCAATCAAGTGATTTACGGTACTCATCAATCCATTGATCCAAGTGATAAAAACATGATGGCTGTTAACATTTTAAAGGGGATGCCTGAATCATGCGGTTAAGAATGACAATGATAATAATGATGTCATTGAAGATCAAAGTCAATCAGGGCTGGCGCCAGAAAGAAAAAGCACAATTCGTTGGGAAGAAAAAAAAATTATATGTAATTTCTACATATTAGTAGACTACTAACTCGATTAAATAAGCTTTTGAAACCTCTAAATTGTCAAAATGTTCGGGGGCTTCACCCCTAGGACCACTTTCGAAACCTTTTAATCGAAGCTCGACACCCCCACTTTGCTTTCGTCGAGGAATCTGACCCCGCGTCGGGACATCGGCCACCTCGTCGGGGACCTGTCTCTTATACACATCTAGATGTGTATAAGAGACAGAATACCATCCTTATAATTATTAGTCAACGTTGTTCAAATACAGTCAAAATATAACGTCCTGGGACGTTTTCTTGTCAACAACAACAACCAACATTTCTAATGCATCAGCGATCGCAAAGTAGCTTCGTAACTGCGATTAAGTGGTTTTTAAGGAACTCGGAATAGGATTTTGCGAACGATTTGTTAAGTTTTCAGCACACTTTAAACGTAAGTACATGTATAAATCTTAATAATATATATAAAAATCGATTTTGTTAGTAAATTACGATGGTGATAAAGAATGGCAATGTTGATGGTACGATTATAGAGAACGACTATGACTGGTGATGATGATGAAGTAGACTAGATTATGGTCACACATCACTTACCGTCTTGCTCCATCTTGGCAAAATCCCTCGGCAACGTGCAAACCAAGTCATTATTTGTCTGTCGTCTGTCCGTTCATTCATTTGTAGGTTTGTTCATCCATTGAGTAGTAGTTTGATTTAGTCCACGACTACATTGTATGTTTTAGTTGAAACTATATAATTAATTGATAATTAAGACGTGTTTCTGACTAACCAAATGTGAATTTGTTTTTACATAATAATCTTTTACAAACGACTTCCCAATTGTTCACGTATTATCGACAATAATTATCGATTACAAACTAATATTGCATATCGATGAAAAAAATAGCTATTAATAAGGCTTTATAGTAGATATCGTGATCGGTCACATGAGGAGTATTAATTACAGATTATGGAAATCATACCGATCATACAGATTTCATGACCACCTATCATCTTGTTTTATTCACGGTAAATTCCACTAGGCAACATGCAATCAAGTGATTTACGGTACTCATCAATCCATTGATCCAAGTGATAAAAACATGATGGCTGTTAACATTTTAAAGGGGATGCCTGGATCATGCGGTTAAGAATGACAATGATAATAATGATGTCATTGAAGATCAAAGTCAATCAGGGCTGGCGCCAGAAAGAAAAAGCACAATTCGTTGGGAAGAAAAAAAAATTATATGTAATTTCTACATATTAGTAGACTACTAACTCGATTAAATAAGCTTTTGAAACCTCTAAATTGTCAAAATGTTCGGGGGCTTCACCCCTAGGACCACTTTCGAAACCTTTTAATCGAAGCTCGACACCCCCACTTTGCTTTCGTCGAGGAATCTGACCCCGCGTCGGGACATCGGCCACCTCGTCGGGGACCTCGCCCCCCCCACACCCTTCCCGTCGGGCAGATCTTGGCGCCACCCCTGAATTCAATTAAGATCACTTTGTTATTTCTCTTTTAAGGGATCTGAGATATAACAGAATAACTACTTTAACTCAAGGTGGCTTCGATGGTTTGACAAGTCTTCAATATTTGTAAGTGACAATCGAAAATTTATGAATATAATAATGTAATTTTTGTATTACATCATCACTTTTATCAAGTCGCAAAACATACCACATAAAAGAACCGTTTGATTGCAGGAAGACGGCTATGTGGAACGCAAGTACGTCACATGCGATTCTTTAAATGATCGTTGTCCGATATCGTGGGCTTGTTTTGGGTGATTACGCTAAGCAAACAAAACGCTAGAATCCTTTTTAATTGCAAATACAACGTCGCGCAAATGATCAAAGATCTATTATTTACTTTGTACGTCATTTAAATAAAGTGCATGACTTGTCATTTTACTTATTATCTACACTCTTATATGAAAAGTTTAGACTGTCTAACCATATTTATTTAAGTAAGTGTTGTGTTAATGTACATGTGCTCATCCCTGAACGACCTAGTATGAAAGAGAATAATGTGCTGTGAAGGAAGGTCCAATTGTAATAGGGATACTCCTGTTAAATGGACGGGGACACTTAAGTAGAGTGCCAAATGGTCAATTTAACACAGTTTTCAATAAATACCATAGGGACAATTTCACATTTTCGGTTAGTGTCTCTTAAATAGGAACACTCTTATTCAAGGGTCACACATGGTATTATTAAGGGGACATTTTGGTTCCGAAAGTTTCCACTGGAGGGGATCTACTTTACGATTAAAATCGATGAATTACTGATAAAAAAAAAAAAGAAGCAATTCGCGGTATATATTAAAAGTCAGACTCAATACATAATACAAAAATTGTGTCAACGTTGTGCAACTAGTCAAAATATAACTTCATGGGACTTTTCTTGTGTACAACAACCAACATTTCTAATGCAACAGCGATCGTAAAGCAGCTTCGTCACTCCAATCGAGTGACTTTTAAGGTAATAGGACCAGATTGCGAACCATTTACTAAGTTGGGAAGCACACATTATGCACATAGTATACCATCCGTATATAATTTTAAGAGTTGATGATTGGGTTATAATTTAATTATCAATCCCAAGAAAAAACTGTCTGGTACACTTGTGAAACGTATCTTCTATATGGATATTTTGAACATAAAGGCACCCTCTCCCGTATCTATATCATTGGTATTACAAATAAAAGACAGCATAATGAAAATATCCATAGGGTGTAGCGTAGGGCTAAGCCAATCCCACCAACACGAAAGCGTGGACTAGGAGAAGAGAGATCTGAACATTTGTTCACTTTACATTGCACTATGTGTATGTGTTCAAATACAAGTTTTACCAAAAGAATATTGAATATGCTTATTGAATTTTGTTAGTATTTTAACCCCATAATGAAAATGAAACAAACCCAATGATTTTAATATAGTCGATCCAAACTACTTGTACAGCGGGGTTGATTTGATCTCAGTTCGCTGCTTTCGTGATAGCTTAACTAGCAAATGATAAAAAGTGGCAAAAACGTTTCCCTATGCTAAACGTCCTTCAGAATCAGTACTAATACTAAGTAATAGGGAGCATATAGTTGCTACAACACGATTGTCGTTGTTTACAATCTACTATCATTCAGTACACATAGTTTGGCAAAAATGCCAAGAGTAAAATTTCTGCGAATACAATGCATAGGCCTACTATACAACTATGGGTGGCAACGGGCCGGGTGGCTAAAGGCCAGGTGGCAAAGGGTCTGCGGTGGCAACGGACCGGGTGGCAACGTTATAGTAGTAGAAATTGTGATCGGTCAACTCGTGGTATCAAACGAGTCACTTACAAACGTGAAATTATCAGAATGTTTTCCAAACACTTTAAAATCAGTTAAAATCAAGTCACATTCAGACGAAAAGTTTAACAATTCAGTTCCGAATCTGTTATTATGATCGGCATTAAAAGCGCCGCATACAATAACTTTATCACCTTTAAATTAAGAAATTATTGACTGAATTTTGCAGAGATATTCAACAAATTCAATAAAGTTATCATCATGATCATATGGGAGATAAATATTAATAAATATAATATCATTACCTCCAATTTCCAAACCAATAATTCTCTTGTCATCAAAATAAACTTTTATTTATTCCTTCATTTCTTTGAGCATAACTATTCTTCTGTTACTATTGACATATTTTCTCACTTATTCTAAATAAGTAATATTTCCTTCACATTAAAATTTTACATATCTAAACATTATACAATTAATACAATAATTTAATTAATCCATCATCAAAACCTATCATAAAACAAGCAATGCAACAATGCATAATCACCTAACTGTCAAGAAAATTATGATAAGAATAAAAATAATAATAA